ACTCCAAGCTTTGTGCATAGCTGTTCAAATTTTGGTCTTGCTAATGCTTTAGTAAAAATGTCTGCAACTTGATCTTCAGTTGTGCAATACTCGAGCTTGATTTCTTTTGTTCCTTCTGCTTCCCTGATAAAGTGATATTTGATTGCTATGTGTTTTATTATACTATGATGCACTGGATTCTTTGTCATTGCTATAGCTGATTTGTTATCGCAGTAGATTGTAGTAGACTCGTTTTATTTTTCTCCCATTTCTTCAAGTATTCTTCGTAACCATATTGCTTGACTTGTAGTTTTAGCAGCTGCCACATATTCTGCTTCTGCTGTTGATTGTGCAATTGTTGCTTGCTTCTTTGAAGCCCATGAGATTGTTCCTGATCCTAGTGAAAAGGCATAACCAGATGTGCTCTTCATGTCATTAATTGATCCTGCCCAGTCACTAGCGGTGTAGCCAGGTAGCTTTGAGTTGCTTATAGTTTTGTACCATATACCATACTTCTTTGTGCCTTGTAGATATCTTAGGATTCTGTTTGCTGTTCCAAAGTGAATTTGGCTTGGACTTTGCATGAATCTTGAAAGAAGACTTACAGCATATATTATATCTGGTCGTGTGGCTGTGAGATATAGTAAGCTTCCAATCAAACTTCTGTAACGTGATGCATCAGCTTCCGGTGCACCATCATTTTTCTTCAATTTCTCATTTGTCACCAGTGGAGTGCTAACAGTCTTACATCCATCCATCTTGAATTTCTTAAGTAATGCTTCAACGTATTTCTTCTGTGAGATAAATATTCCTTCTTTCTTTTGTTTTACCTCTATTCCAAAGAAGTAATTCATTAAGCCAAGGTCGGTCATTTCAAAGGTCTTCATCATATCTTCTTTGAACTTAGCTATCATCTCCACATTGTTTCCTGTGCAGATAAGATCATCTACATACAAGGAGACAATGAGTATGTCATACTAACCTTGGATCTTGGTGTATAAAGTTGCTTCACTTTTGCTCCTCCTGAATCCTTGGTCTGCAAAGTATTGATCAATTTTACTGTACTACGCTCGTGTAGCTTGCTTCAATCCATATAGAGCTTTTTTTAGTCTTAGTACTTTGCCTTCATTACCTTTGCTAACGAAGCCTTGTGGTTGCTCCACATAAATTTCTTCTTGAAGAATGCCATTGAGAAAAGCAGATTTTACATCTAGTTGGTAAATATTCCATCCTTTTTGTGCAGCAAGAGCAATTAGAGTTCTTACAGTATCCAGGCGAGCTACTGGAGCAAACGTCTCGTTGTAATCAACTCCAGGTTGTTGTGAGTATCCTTTAGCTACCAGCCTTGCCTTGTACTTTTGTATTGTGCCATCAGGATTAAGCTTGGTCTTATAGACCCATTTTACCCCAATGATATCTTTATCTTCGGGGCAATCTACTAGCTCCCATGTGTTATTTTTCTCAATCATTTTTATCTCTTCTTCCATTGCCTTGATCCATACTTCTTGTTTTAACGCTGCTTCAAAGCTCTCAGGTTCAGTTATGGCCAGGTTACAGGTCTCGTATATATCCACCAAAGATCTAATTCATCTTGGAGTAGACTCTGGTGAGGAATGTTGTTGTTGTGGAGGTGAAAAATTCTCACTTGAGACTTCTTCAATTTCTTGAGGTTGCTGCATTGGTATGGAAACATTTTTCTGAACCTTTTCATCTTTCCAATTCCAAGCAGCATTTTCATCAACTTCAACATCTCGACTAATGGTGAGTTTCTTGGTTTGTAAGTTGTAGACTTGATATCCTTTTGACTGTGTGCTATATCCCAAGAAGATATCTCATACAGTTTTGTCTTCTAGTTTGTGTCTCTTCTCTTCTGGAATGTGTATGTAGCAAATTGATCCAAAAACCCTTACATGTTTTGCTTATGGTTTTTCCCACTCCAAGCTTCAATTGGAGTTTTATCTTGAACAACCTTAGTTGGACATCTATTAAGTATGTAGACAGCAGTATAAACTGCTTCAGCCCAGAAAGTATTTGGCAATTTTTTCTCCTTCAGCATGGATCTAGCCATCTCCATTAGCGTGCGATTTTTCCTCTCAGTTACTCCATTTTGTTGTGGAGTATATGCGACAATAAGTTGTCGTTGAATGCCTTCATCCTCACAGAATTTATCAAACTCTTGAGATGTATACTCTTTGTCACGATCACTTCTTAATACTTTTATCTATTTACCACTTTGTTTCTCGATAAGGGCCTTAAACTTCTTGAATATTCCAAAGACTTCTGACTTTGCTTTGATGAAGTAGACCCAAGTCATTCTAGAAAAATCATCAATGAAAAGGATAAAATACCTATTATTATGAAGTGATGATGTCTGCATTGGTCCGCAAATATCTGTATGAACAAGCTCCAATAAGTCTTTTGCTCTCCAAGCTTTTCCAGTAGAAAATGGCAGTCGATGTTGCTTGCTAAGGAAACATCATTCACAAGCTTTATTATTTTCTTTGTCTCCACCATAACAGTGCCTCTGCCTTTTGACTCAGTGATAGTACTGTTCCCCATTCGAACTTTCACTTTGATGGATTCGTCGATATCCTTGAAGATGTTTATATCTTTGGCCATGTGATTACTGCGGCCGCTATCCAAGTACCAATTTCTGCTTGTTTTAGTACTGGGATCTTGGGTAGCATAGAAAAGATGTGGTTCTCGATCATCCTCTTCAGCGAAATTTGCTTGATACTTGTTTTTGTTGCGACAATACTTTTCCATATGTCCATATTTCTTATAGTGTCGACATTGTTGTTTTCCACGATATCGACATTCTTCTTCAGCATGATTTGTCCTCTTACAGATGCCACATGGAGAATATTTATCTTGATTGTTTCTAGAGAAATTTCTAGAATTCTCTTTGTTTCTAGAAGTTTCTCCATTATTCTTTCTTACTTCATTCCCTTTATTCTGGGACCGTAATTTGAGCTTTGAATGAAAGGCATTTTCTATTGAGTCCTCATCATGTCTTTTCAACCTTTACTCATAAGCTTCAAGGGACCCTACAAACTCTGTCACTGATAGAGTAGATAGGTCCTTTGTTTGCTCAATAGTGGTGACAATTAGATTATACTTACAGGGAACTGTAATCAATAATTTCTCAACAACTTTTTTGTCAAGAATATTTTCTCTGTAAGCTCTCATTTGATTAACCATTTCTTTTATTTTGGAATAGTAATCCTTGACGGTCTCAGACTCTTTCATTTTTAATAATTCAAACTCTCGCCATAGAGTTTGGAGTTTTATAGTGCGTACCTTTTCGCTTCCTTCAAACTCCTCCTGCAACGTACTTCATGCTTCTTTGGCTGTTGTAACACCCATTATTCTTGGAAAAATTGCATCAGTCACAGCTTGTTGTAGAGTAAACAAGGCCTTTGAATCCTTTTATTTATTCTCCTTCAATTCTTTTCTTTGAGCTGCAATAAGGGATGATATGTCTGAGGGAGTAGTGAATCCTTCTTCCACAACATCCCACAAATCTTGGAAAGTGAAATATGTTTTCATTTTTGTGCTCCAAAAATCATAATTTTTGCCATTGAAAATGGGGACGGGAAGAAATGATGGTTGAGTAGTGCTAGCCATGGGTTAGGAAATTTTTGGAAGTGGTTTATTTTAATTTTGAAATAGTATGGTAATATTTCTACGCCCAGTAGATGACCGAACGTAGCTCTGATACCACTGATAATTTTTGGTGTAGGTGAGATGAGTAAGATAGTTGAAATGCTAGTAGGAATTGTTGAAAATGGTAGTTGAAGAAGTTTTAGTAAGAAACTCAAGAGATAGAGAATTTATATCTTGATTACTTCTTCTTCATGTCATTTACAATGGAATGGCTTGCCTATTTATAGGCATCCTCCACCATTAAGTTTGAGTAATCTAATATTCTACAATTTTCTTCTAGAAGTATCTTGAAACTTGAAGATTTACAATGTTCTAGAACACTCTCTAGAAGTATCTATAAGATAGAAGATTTAAATGATTTTTTTTAGATTTTTTCTAGTATTTTTCTAGACTATTCTATAAATTTGTATCAATTTCTAATATTTACTGTGATTAATAAAAGGTACAAGAAGGTATCCAATAAATGCACAAACACTTACAAATAGACAAAACAAATAAAGTATCAATGCTTACAAATAAAAGAAAAAAAGACGAAACTCCAATTGCAGAGCATGAAATTATATTTGTGTTTCTCCCTCTCAAGACGTTTTTTTCTGTTATTCAACCAGAGAAATAAAGATTCACTTGCTCAGAACCTGCTATAAAAATGATGGTATGATGATATGCAAAAATAGCAATGAGTTTTCTTTCTCTTTTTTCTAATGTTTTTCTTTTAAGAGACTTTCTTTTCTCATATTCTATCTGACATTACTCTAAAGCCTTTTTCCACGTAAGAAGGGAACCCAAAAATCCAACAGTGTGATATATGTTTTTCCTTTTATTCTAATTGCTTACAATTTTAAAACCTTTCGCCTAGCTATCATCCTTTTTATTCATTTTTCATTAATGTGCTATAGATGGAAATCCTCATCTTTAGAAATCACCATGGTAAAAAATCACCAATTCTCAAGATTCTCCTTCTTCACCTTTGTGATCACTTTATACAATTGAAGAACGAACATGTTGAATCACAAGTATACACTAGCAAATTTCAAATTGCAAAACAATTAACAACCAATGACCAAGAGAAATTCAAAGTCGTCTTCTCACCGTGGACTTTATGTTATATAGAAGTTGAAGGATATATATCACCTACTTCCAGCTGTTTAAAATTTAAAATTTAAGAACAAAATGTTCTGTTACAATGTTAAAACATTAAATAAACACATCATGCTGAATAAATATTAAACAATGGCTATGGAAAACTCAATGTCCTCTTCTCACAGTGGACTTTACCTAATATAAATGTTGGAGGACAAAGTTTCATGGCAACTCACCATACAGCAATAGCAGAAATAAGATCTAACTAGACTCAAATGGCCGAAACTGCATTGTCCTTGGCTCGTGATCATTTGTTTCCGTTCTTAAAGGAAGTTGGCAACATGATCAGGGGCGTCCCAAAAGATGTTGATGACATGAAAAATGAACTAGAAAGGATTCAAGCCATCATTCATGATGCAGATAGAGTGGCTGCAGCTGGAGACTGTTCCACACGAGAAAAAGTTAAAGCAAAGGTTAAGCTGCTGATAGAAGTAGCTTTTAGCATGGAAGATGTAATTGATGAGTATGTGATCCATCAGGAACAAGAGCCTCGTGATCCTGGATGTGCAGCTTTTCCCTGTCATCCTGCTGACCTCATCGAAACCTTGATGCTTCGTCTTCAAATAGCATATAAGATTCAGGATGTTAAATCACAAGTTCGTGCATTCAACGAAAGCAGTGAAAGGAAGAGTGACTTCAGAATCCAACCTTTTCTAGAAAAAGAACCAAGCAGCTCTAGTGGAAACCAAAACAAGACTTTGGAGAAGATTCGAAAGGCTCCCCTTTACATGGAAGAAGCTCAAATTGTGGGCTTTGAAGCACCCAGAGATGAATTGGTTGGTTGGTTGATAGAGGCAAGAGCAGAGCGCACTGTAATCTCTGTGGTAGGAATGGGAGGGCTGGGAAAGACCACTCTTGCCAAGAAAGTGTTTGACAACAAGGAGGTGATCGGGTTCTTTGATTGCCATGCGTGGATCACAGTGTCTCAGTCCTATACTGTTGATGGCCTGTTGAAGGACATATTGAAGAAGTTTTGCGAAGGAAAACATGTGGATCCTCCTCAAAATATTTCTACAATGGAAGGCGATTCATTGATAGATGGAGTAAGAAACTACTTGAGCAAAAAGAGGTACGTGATTGTCTTTGATGATGTGTGGGCTGTAAACTTTTGGGATGAGATTGAATTTGCTACTCTTGATAGTCAAAATGGAAGTAGGATAATTATGACTACTAGGGACATGAAAGTAGCCGAGTCATGTAAAAAATCTTCTTTTGTTAAAATACATGAATTAAAACCTCTATCTCCAACACAGTCATGGGAACTCTTTTGCAAGAAGGCATTCCAATTTGAATTTAATGGGTATTGCCCAGCAGAGTTAGAGCATATATCTTCTGAGATTGTTGAAAAATATTAGAAATTGATACAAATTTCTAGAATAGTCTAGAAAAAATACTAAGAACAATCTAGGAAAAACTAATTGTATCTTCTAGTATGTAGATGCTTCTAGAGAAAGTTCTAGAATAATGTAAATCTTCAAGTTTCTAGATAGCTCTAGTATATTGAACCAAATGGTGGATGATGCCTATAAATAGGCATGCTACCTCATTGTAAATGCAATGAAGAAGAAGTAATCAAGACATCAATTCTCCATCTCTTGAGTCTCTTACTAAAACTTCTTCAACTACTATTTTCAACTATTCCTACTAACACATTTCAACTATCTTACTCATCTCACCCACACTAAAAACTATCAATGGCATCAGAGCTACGTTCGGTCATCTACTGGGCGTAGAAATATTACCATACTATTTCAAAATTAAAATAAACTACTTCCAAGAATTTCCTAACCCATGGCTAGCACTACTCAACCATCATCTCTTCCCGTCCCCATTTTCAATGGCAAAAATTATGATTTTTGGAGCACAAAAATGAAAACATATTTCACTTTCCAAGATTTGTGGGATGTTGTGGAAGAAGGATTCACTACTCCCTCAAACATATCATCCCTTACTGCAGCTCAAAGAAAAGAATTGAAGGAAAATAAACAAAAGGATTCAAAGGCCTTGTTTACTCTACAACAAGCTGTGACTGATGCAATTTTTCCAAGAACAATGGGTGCTACAACAGCCAAAGAAGCATGGAGTACGCTGCAGGAGGAGTTTGAAGGAAGCGAAAAGGTACGCGCTATAAAACTCCAAACTCTACGACGAGAGTTTGAATTATTAAAAATGAAAGAGTTTGAGACCGTCAAGGATTACTATTCCAAAATAAAAGAAATGGTTAATCAAATGAGAGCTTACGGAGAAAATATTCTTGACAAAAAAGTTGTTGAGAAATTACTGATTACAGTTCCCCGTAAGTATGATCCAATTGTCACCACTATTGAGCAAACAAAGGACCTATCTACTCTATCAGTGACAGAGTTGGTAGGGTCCCTTGAAGCTTATGAGCAAAGGTTGAAAAGGCATGATGAGGACTCAATAGAAAATGTCTTTCAATCAAAGCTCAAATTACGGTCTCAGAATAAAGGGAATGAAGCAAGAAAGAATAATGGAGAAACTTCTAGAAACAAAGAGAATTCTAGAAATTTCTCTAGAAACAATCAAGATAAATACTCTCCATGTGGTATTTGTAAGAGGACAAATCATGCTGAAGAAGAATGTCGGTATCGTGGAAAACCACAATGTCGACACTGCAAGAAATTTGGACATGTGGAAAAGTATTGTCGCAACAAAAACAAGTATCAAGCAAATTTCGCTAAAGAGGATGATCGAGAACCACATCTTTTCTATGCTACCCAAGATCCCAGTACTGAAATGAGTGGAAATTGGTACTTGGATAGTGGTTGCAGCAATCACATGGCCAAAGATATAAACATCTTCAAGGATATCGATGAATCCATCAAAGTGAAAGTTCGAATGGGGAATGGTACTATCGCTGAGTCAAAAGGCAAAGGCACTGTTATGGTGGAGACAAAGAAAGGTACGAAACTTATTACTGATGTCTTACTAGTCCCCAACCTCAAGGAAAATCTCTTGAGTATTGGCCAAATGATGGAGAAAGGTTATTCTCTTCACTTCAAAGGAGACACATGTAAGATATATGACAACAAAAAGCAAGAGATTGGCCAAGTAAAGATGGAGAAAAGAAATCGAAGTTTTCCAATAAGCTTTCAACAAGGCGCTAATATTGCCATGAAAGCAGAAGTTGATACTTCACGACTTTGGCATCGAAGATTTGGCCACTTCAATACTCATGCCTTAAAACTACTACATCAAAAGAATATGATGAAGGATCTTCCATATCTTGAAGAAAATAATGAAGCTTGTGAAGGATGTCTCCTTGGCAAGCAACATCGATTGCCATTTTCTACTGGAAAAGCTTGGAGAGCAAAAGACCTATTGGAGCTTATTCATACAGATATTTGCGGACCAATGCGGACACCATCACTACATGATAACAGGTATTTTATCCTTTTTATCGATGATTTTTCTAGAATGACTTGGGTCTACTTCATCAAAGCAAAGTCAGAAGTCTTTGGAATTTTCAAGAAGTTTAAGGCCCTTGTCGAGAAGCAAAGTGGTAAACAAATAAAAGTATTAAGAAGTGATCGTGGCAAAGAGTATACATCTCAAGAGTTTGATAAATTCTGTGAGGATGAAGGCATTCAACGACAACTTACTGTCGCATATACTCCACAACAAAATGGAGTAACTGAGAGAAAAAACCGCACTGTAATGGAGATGGCTAGATCCATGCTGAAGGAGAAAGAATTACCAAATACTTTCTGGGCTGAAGCAGTTTATACTGCTGTCTACATACTTAACAGATGCCCAACTAAGGCTGTCCAAGATAAAACTCCAATTGAAGCTTGGAGTGGGCAAAAACCATCAGCAAAACATCTAAGGGTTTTCGGATCAATTTGCTACATACACATTCCAGAAGAGAAGAGACACAAACTAGAAGACAAAACCGTACGAGGTATCTTCTTGGGATATAGCACACAGTCAAAAGGATATCGAGTCTACAACTTGCAAACCAAGAAGCTCACCATTAGTCGAGATGTTGAAGTTGATAAAAATGCTGCTTGGAATTGGAAAGATGAAAAGGTTCAGAAAAATGTTTCCATACCAATGCAGCAACCTCAAGAAATTGAAGAAGTCTCAGGTGAGAATTTTTCACCTCCACAACAACAACATTCCTCACCAGAGTCTACTCCAAGACGAGTTAGATCTTTGGTAGATATATATGAGACCTGTAACCTGGCCATAACTGAACCTGAGAACTTTGAAGCAGCATCAAAACAAGAAGTATGGGTCAAGGCAATGGAAGAAGAGATAAAAATGATTGAGAAAAATAACACATGGGAGCTAGTAGATTGCCCCACAGATAAAGATATCATTGGGGTAAAATGGGTCTATAAGACCAAGCTTAATCCCGATGGCACCATACAAAAGTACAAGGCAAGGCTGGTAGCTAAAGGATACTCACAACAACTTGGAGTTGATTACAACGAGACATTTGCTCCAGTTGCTCGCCTGGATACTATAAGAACTCTGATTGCTCTTGCTGCACAAAAAGGATGGAACATTTATCAACTTGATGTAAAATCTGCCTTTCTCAATGGCATTCTTCAAGAAGAGATTTATGTGGAGCAACCGCAAGGCTTCGTCAGCAAAGGTAATGAAGGCAAAGTACTAAGACTGAAAAAAGCTCTATATGGATTGAAGCAAGCTCCACGAGCATGGTACAGCAAAATTGATCAATACTTTGCAGACCAAGGATTCAGGAGGAGCAAAAGTGAAGCAACTTTATACACCAAGATCCAAGGTCAGTATGATATACTCATTGTCTCCTTGTATGTAGATGATCTTATCTGCACAGGAAACAATGTGGAGATGATAGCTAAGTTCAAAGAAGATATGATGAAGACCTTCGAAATGACCGACCTTGGCTTAATGAACTACTTCCTCGGAATAGAGGTAAAACAAAAGAAAGAAGGAATATTTATCTCACAGAAGAAATATGTTGAAGCACTACTCAAGAAATTTAAGATGAATGAATGTAAGACAGTCAGCACTCCATTGGTGACAAATGAGAAACTGAAGAAAAATGATGGTGCACCGGAAGCTGATGCATCACGTTACAGAAGTTTGATTGGAAGCTTACTATATCTCACAGCCACACGACCAGACATAACGTATGCTGTAAGTCTTCTTTCAAGATTCATGCAAAGTCCAAGCCAAATTCATTTTGGAACAGCAAAAAGAATCCTAAGATATCTACAAGGCACAAAAGAGTATGGTATATGGTACCGAACTATAAGCAACTCAAAGCTACTTGGCTACACCGACAGTGACTGGGCAGGATCGATCGACGACATGAAAAGCACATCTGGTTATGCCTTTTCACTAGGATCAGGAACAATCTCATGGGCTTCAAAGAAGCAAGCAACAGTTGTGCAATCAACAGCAGAAGCTGAATATGTAGCAGCTGCTGAGACTACAAGTCAAGCAATATTGTTACGAAGAATACTTGAAGAAATGGGAGAAAAACAAAATGAGCCTACTACAATCTACTGCGACAACAAATCAGCTATAGCAATGACAAAGAATCCAGTGCATCATAGTAGAACAAAACACATAGCAATCAAATATCACTTTATCAGGGAAGCAGAAGGAACTAAAGAAATCAAGCTCGAGTATTGCACAACCGAAGATCAAGTTGCAGACATTTTTACTAAAGCACTACCAAGACCAAAATTTGAACAGCTACGCACGAAGCTTGGAGTTACAGAAATTTGCACCAAGGAGGAGTATTAGAAATTGATACAAATTTCTAGAATAGTCTAGAAAAAATACTAAGAACAATCTAGGAAAAACTAATTGTATCTTCTAGTATGTAGATGCTTCTAGAGAAAGTTCTAGAATATTGTAAATCTTCAAGTTTCTAGATAGCTCTAGTATATTGAACCAAATGGTGAATGATGCCTATAAATAGGCATGCTACCTCATTGTAAATGCAATGAAGAAGAAGTAATCAAGACATCAATTCTCCATCTCTTGAGTCTCTTACTAAAACTTCTTCAACTACTATTTTCAACTATTCCTACTAACACATTTCAACTATCTTACTCATCTCACCCACACTAAAAACTATCAAAAAATGTGATGGTTTACCATTAGCATTAGTGGTCATTGCTGGTCTTTTATCCTGCAAACGTAAGACTAGAGTTGATGAGTGGGAAGAGTTTTGTCACAATCTAAATGTAGAGCTGCAGAGGAATGAAGAATTAGGTGATATAACAAAGATTTTGAGTTTCAGTTATAACAATTTGCCTTACCATCTTAAATCATGCTTTTTGTATTTTGGAATGTTTCCTGAAGACTTTGAAATTCAATCGAAAAGATTGATTCATAAATGGATAGCTGAAGGGTTTGTAAAAGATGAAGAGGGAAAAACCTTAGAGAAGGTTGCAGAAGGATATTTAAAAGAATTGATTGATCGAAGTTTGGTGCAAGTATCTTCACTTACGATTGATGGAAAAGTTAGAGGTTGTCGTGTTCATGACCTAACACGTGAGATGATCCTTAAAAAATGCGAGGATTTGAGATTTTGTGGTGGCGTACATGATGAGTCAGCGTTAAGTGGCATACCTCGACGCCTGTCAATAGAAACCAGTTTCATTGATTTAGCGTGTAGCAGTGAAAGCTCACCCGTTCGGTCAATCATTGTTTTCGAAGATCAATCTCCGGAATTTGTGAGAACACTTACCAAATACAATTTACTGAAGGTGCTTGATTTTGAAGAGATTTCCTTGTTTGATTTTCCTGAATATTTTGGGAATTTAATCCACTTGAAGTATTTGAGGATGGGTTTTTCACGGATAGAAAGTATTCCAAAATCCATTGCTAAGTTGAAGAACTTGGAGAGCTTGGTTCTACAGGAATGTTTTGGAGTTGAGATGCCAGAAGAGATGATCAAGCTTAGAAAGCTAAGACATCTTCAAATCGGCTCTATGCGTTTGACTCAATTGAAGGATGGTATAGGAGGCATGACATCCCTACAAACGCTAAGTGCTGTTGAATTATATGGTGGTGATGATGATGTAGAGCTCATTAGAGGATTGGGAAGGCTAACGCAAATGAGGAAGTTGACCTTGATAGAAGTTGGGAAGGAACATGAAAGCGCTCTATGTTCCTCAATAAGTAAGATGAAATACTTGGAAAGCCTAAGTGTGGAAATTCGACGGGGACAAAACTTCAATTTGGAGTTGAATTCAGCCCCACTTATGCTCCGGAAGCTTTACCTACACAATATTCAGTCGTTTCCAGAGTGGATTCCAAAGCATCAAAAGCTGGTTAAGTTTACTTTTAGCGGCTCCTCAACTATGGTTCCTATGGAATCACTAAAAGATTTGCCAAATTTGTTGTACCTTGAGCTTCAAAGTTGTGATCGGGTAAGCTTGCATTTTCAAGATGGAGGGTTTCAGAAATTAATGGATCTAAGACTCTCAAATATCATTAACTTGAATTCCATCTATATCGACAAAGGAGCACTGAGTTCTCTCAAATCCCTCAAGTTAAGATATATCCGTAGTCTTAATGCAGTACCCTCTGGCATCCAACATTTAAAGGAACTTGAAGTTTTTGAAATAGAACAGATGTCAGATGAATTTGAGACTAACATTGCTCCCATTGAAGGACCAGATCACCCGGCCATCCACCATGTTCCCCTCGTAAAAATTATCAGCAAAGGTGGCAAGTCCCGCACTATTCATCATGCATGAAGAAAAAAATCATGAAGCGTCACAACTTCGAAAATAAAAGGTGTGCTCTTTTTTTTTGTCAAAATCATCGCAGTGACTGTCGTGCTAATACTTTTGTTTTCTCAATCTAAATTTTCAATCTTTATATACTCTTGCCTTGCCTCCCTTTTCTTTGGATATTCAATCATAAAAACTTCTAATCAACAATAAAAAAAGCTATCAGATATTGTTTTAGAAATCGAATTAGTTGCAATTTTGTTGCTAAAATCAGCAAACTCGCTAATGCAATTACTAATTATTGGCTTCAAAAGAATGTAATTGTAGTCTTCCATTTTAAATTTGACATTTCAGTCCGCAAATAAAGAGAACTAGGTAAATTAAATTGATTTAAATTTCTTTAATTTGTAAAACATGCTTTGATTTTATATAATAAACATTGAATATCTTCTAGTTGTAAAGTTGGACCTAACCAATTTTAGTAACTAAAAAAATATTTCTTTATTTTGACAAGAAGAAACAAGTGCAAATATAACTTCAGAATGCATTTAAATACTGAATTAGTAAACTTATTTCCTAAATATATATTTTGTTCCCTTACACCCTAAAAGTTCAAGTTATAATAAGGAGCCCCTTGTAGCTATAGCACAATCTCTGGAATAGTTATTGGCAGCAAAAGGAAGAAAGGATAAAGGATTCTTCAGGTATACAATCACAGATCCTTTAGTCACAGAATAAAGGAACCGAAGCCGAATTAGATAGAATCATTTCCAGTTGATGAGTCTAACTAATACCTAAAGGAGTTGGACGATTAGCAGTCCTGCCTCTAAGAACTTGAAAGTGCAAAGGTAGCTCTGCTATATCTTCAAATAATGAGTTAATTAGTAAAAAAATTGACAAATTTGTTTAATTCACTTATCAACATGTTGAGACCTATGAGCTTTACCTGCAGAATGAGAAGTTGCGCATGGATCTTACTATGTTATCCTTTGTATTGTGACTGAGGTTCTTCCAAGCTTAAATGTTTCTATTGGTATTCTTTCTAGAAGACACTAGCTAAACTGGCTACTTGTGCAAGTTAATTCATTGAAAATGTATGTTAGTTCAGCTATTTTATTTCCTCCATTCATATTATGTGAGTTATACTTTGGCTACATGGTCCATGGTTTCATGGGTTTTATCAATGTTTACATGTTATCTCCTTGAATTCTAACTTCTGCACCTAAGAAGTGATGATATAGCCTGCAAACATGGTGTATTCAATTCTACATGCTTTCATTCTGTGGTGTATGTATGTGTATATGTGTGGGTATATATATGTATTTGACTCTAAGTTGTATTCCATCTATGTTAATTGTTCTGTGGAATCTGGTGGATACTCCTTTAGAGGAAAGGAGACTTTATATTTGAAATAAGTCAACTGTATATTATGTTAATGTTCCTTTGGTCCTTGCTCTGGAGCTAATTGAGCAGCTTCTTCTGGAAAACTTTTTCCTGGAAACTTGTGCAGAAGAGAGTAGCAGTAAAGTCAAATTTGTTTAGAAGAGGAGTGCTACTTCTGGATCAGCTGTACTGTGACACGCGTGGAGAAGAAGAAGAGAATATAAATTAACTGTTTGTTACATGCAATTTTCATACAACCTTTGGGTGTAGATTCTAAAGTGGACTGGTTTTTCTTCTGCTTGGCACTGCGACATATCAATATTGTTTTTGCAGTTTTGTATAGTATGGTCCATTATTTGGATGAGAAGGAACCATGTGATCTTTAAATCTCCCTCAGGAAGTATTTCATTACATTGTATTCTGCACATGGTGGTGGTTGAAAGCTAAGCATAAAGATTTTATTTATCTTATCACAACGCCAAAATAGAGATCTGAGAGCGGTTCCATTTTGAATTAGAGAGCGTTTAGAACTGCTCTAAAATCTTGCGCTATTTGATGTATTATATTTAAGAGAGCGATTAAACAAGCGTTATCTGATATTAAGATTAGAGAGCAGTTCCAAGCAAAACCGCTCTCCAAAGTATAGGTGTAAGATTAGAGAACGGTTCTGCATGGAACCGCTCTCTAAAGTATAAATGTAGATCGCGAATCTAAAATTTAAAATTGATTTCTTTTTGAGTTTTTTGTTGCAAAATAAAAATTTATTATTACATTTAAATCAAAATTTGGAATTGATTTCTTTGTGAGTTTTCTTTATTTTTATCACAAATCAAAATTAAATCTTGAGTTTATATATTTGGTGTTAACCAAACAGTTCACATCTGCATGAACCAAACACGAGTAAGCAGAGAAAGAAGAGAGAACAAATTAATAAGATAATTTTTAACATTAATAGAGAGAAAAAGAAAGAAAGAGAGAATGGATGATTCAATGTTAACAAAGAGAAGAAGAAAGAAATACCTATAGATGTGGAAAAATTAGCGTAAAAAAGATGAAGAAAGTAGACTAACACAAAATGAAGAGGTACCTATAGATGGAAAAAAAAAACTATACAGATGGAAAAAAAAAACTAATTTGTTAGCGAGAGAAGACAAAGAGAGCAGGTTAATAAAGAAGATGAAGAAAATATAAAAGAGCAAAGAAAAAACTTACAGTAAAAGAGACCAGTTTTGTTAGCTAAGAAGAAGAAATGCATTGAGTGTGTTCATTTATAAATGACTTTAATAACATTAGAGAGCGATTCTTTATTAATCGCTCTCCAAGAATGAGATTGGAGAGCGATTCTTTATTAACCGCTCTCTAATATGTACTTTAGAGAGTGGTTAATAGAGAACCGCTCTCAGAACTATACTTCTGAGAGCGATTAATAGAAAACCGCTCTCTAAATATATAATTACAAAGCAATTTTTATTAACCGCTGTCTAAGTTAGTGCTCCAAAAGATCATTTTTGGCGTAGTGTTTATACTATTGGAAAATGAATCCCCTTGCTTGTATATAATTGCTCCTTTTGGTTGGTTTGTTTTCATTTATTTTTTGATGTAGGAGGTATAGCTCTGTTTATAAATTAAGGTGTTGTATTTGGATAGGCAAAACTTCTTCTAGGTTGATGCAGTTGATATTGTAAGTCAAGGTTGGAGGCTGTTATGGTGTTAGGAGTTTAGGTGTGTATCTGTTGTATGCTGGAATAGGTAGGATTGTTTTTGCTTTGCTCCAGTTGGTCCTACGAACAAGACAAGGCCGGCTACTATCCATTGGTTCGTTGGTTTCTGCTAGTTTTAATTGTTCAAGGTCAGTTATTACCTATTTGTTTGCTAGTTTCTATTGCCTTTGTTAAGAATATGAACCAATAACTATTATTAGTGTTCATTCCTACTTTATGAGTTTTGATTATAGAAATTATGAGAATAAATAGGCTGCTACATACTTATGAATAACTTTATTTGTAATTTATATTCAGATTAATGAGTAGAATTAGAATCAACTTTAAATTATGGGTTTCTTGTATTTAAAAGTTGTTAGTATGAATAAAAGTGAGTTTCCACTTTCAAGTTGATAGCCTTCTAAATTTATCTTAGTTCCAACATTTGGTATCAAAACTTTATTTGTTCTTAAGGGACCTGGTAAAGTTGAGAGTTCTACCAAACACCTAAACACTTATATTCAGAATGCCAATTTTTTTAGGGTAAAAATTATCACCTATGGGCAATTAGAATGGAGGCTTTTCTTGATGCAAGTGACCTTTAGGAGGCTGATGAGGAGGATTATGAGGTTGGACAATTATTAGAAAATTCAACACTAAATCAAATTAGGTTTTATAAGGAAAGAAAATAGCAAAAATCAAAGGCAAAATCTTGTCTATTTTCTGTTGTTTCTCCCACAATCTTTACTAGAATTATGATTCTGAAATTGGCAAAGGCCATTTGGGATTTTCTCAAACAAGAGTATGAAAGAAATGAGAAAGTCAAAAGGATGCAAGTGCTGAATTTAATCAGGGAGTTTGAGATGCAGCGGATGAAGGAGTCAGAAATAGTGAAAGAATATTTTGATAGACTTTTAAGCATTGTAAACAAAGTGAAGTTGTTTGAAACTGAGTTTCCTGATACAAGAATTGTTCAAAAAATTCTTGTGACTGTTCCTGAGACGTTTGAATCCACTATTTTCTCTTTGAAAAATTCAAAAGATTTGTTAATTATCACTTTGGCACAATTTTTATATGCTTTGCAAGCCCAAGAACAAAGGAGACTCATGAGGGAGGAAGGTGTGATTGAAGGTGTGTTACAAGCCAAACTGAAACTCAGTCATGGCTACAAAGGAAAGAAAAAGAATGCTCAAGGGAGCAACTTTGAGCAAGGAGAGAGTTCTAACAAAGGTATTAAAGGAGAAGATGAGAAGCCAAATCATCCTCCTTGTCAGCATTGTGGAAAGAGAATCATCCTCACTTCAGATGCTGGAGGAGGCCTAACATACGTTGCAACAAATGCAACCAGCTTGGTCACATGGCAAAAATTTGCAAAAACAAAAAGCAGCCTCAAATTGAAGCTCAAGTGGTTGATCAACAAGAAAAGGAGGAGCAGTTATTTGTAACAACCTATTTTGCCACCAGCAGCAATGGTGAAAGTTGGTTAATTGACAATGGATGCACACATCATATGACCTATGATGAAGAATTGTTCAAAGAATTGGATCAAATCACAGTTTCAAAAGTTAGAATTGGCAATGAAGAGTGCATAACTGTGAAAAGGAAGGGCACTGTTGCAATTGAAAGCTACTCAGGTATAACAATAATCACTGATGTACTTTATGTACCTTATATTAATCAAAATTTGTTGAGTGTTGGCCAGTTGCTTGAAAAAGACTACAAAGTCTTGTTCAAAGACAAAATGTGCTTGATCAAAGATGCAAGTGGGCAGGATTTATTCAAGGTCAAAATGAAAGGAAAAAGCTTCTCTTTAGATATGATGGAGGAAGTGCAAGTTGCTGTTTCAAGCTCCATCAATGTCACTGAACTTTGGCATAAGAGAATGGGTCATTTCAACCATGCTGCATTGCTTTACATGAAGAAGCACAATATTGTGAAAGG